CTGGCCAATAGAATGCAACAACACATCAGAAAGATAATCCACCCAGACCAAGCGGGATTTATCCCTGGTATGCAGGGATGGTTCAATGTTTGCAAAACAATCAATGTGATACACCACATTAACAGACTGCAGAAGAAAAACCATATAATTATCTCAATAGATGCAGAGAAAGTATTTCATAAAATACAACACCCGTTCATGATGAAAACTCTAAGCAAACTGGGTATGGAAGGAACATTCCTCAATACAATCAAAGCAATTTAATATAAGAGTGGGAATAACAGAGGGAAGAGATGTGCAATTCGGGACATGCTCAAGCTGACTGACCTCAAATGGTAGAGTTAGAAAAATACCAGGGGATTCCAATTCATTCCCATCAAGGTGGCATGTACCAATGCCATCTCATGAGTACAAGTGATCAATTTCTGTTCACAATTGATCATAATGAAAGGACTAAGAGTCAAAGGGATCACACAAACAAGACTAGTGTCTGCAAATACTAGCTGATAGAATCAAAAAGGGAGAGAACGATCCAACAGGGGAAGTGAGATACACAGCAGACCCATGGAATGGCAGATATCCTAAACAGCACTCTGGCCTCAGAATCAGCCCTTAAGGTATGCGGATCCGGCTGAAAAGCCCATGAGAGTATTTCAGGCATGGAAAGCCAAGACACTCTGGGGGAAAAAAAAAACAAACCTAAATGAAAGATCTCTGCGAGTGAGATCCCAGTGGAAACAACAGGTCTTCAAAGAAGGAGGTACCTTATTCTGAAGGGAGGAGTGAACTTCCACTTTGCCTATGACCTTGTCTAAATATGATTAGAGTCGGTGAACTCAGGGGGCTTCCATAGCCTTGGCAGCTCATGACAAGAGCCTAGGGTGATTACTGATGCCATAAACAAGTGTGTCAATTTGTTAAGTCAACAACAGGAGTCACTGTGCACTTACTCCTCATGTAGGATCTTTGTCCTTAGTGTGCTATACATTGAGATTAAATGCTATAACTAGTACTCAAACAGTATTTTTCAGTTTGTGTTTCTGTGTGGGAGCAAAGTGTTGGAATCTTTACTAAATGTATGCTAAACTGATCTTCTGTATATAAAGAGAATCGAAAACGAATCTTGATGTGAATGGAAGGGAAGAGGGAGTGGTAAAGGGGAGGGTTGCGGGTTGGAGGGACGTTATGGGGGGGAAGCCATTGTAATCCATATTCTGTACTTTGGAAATTTATATTCATTAAATAAAAGTAAAAAAAAAAAGAAAAACCCAAAGCCAGCATCCTATTGATTGGGGGTAAAGTTGGAATCATTTCCACTGAGATCTGGTACCAGACAGGGAGGCCCACTCTCACCACTGCTATTCAATATAGTACTGGAAGTTTTACCCAGAGCCACTAGACAAAAAATTAAGGGATACAAATTGGAAAGGAAGAAATCAAACTATCTCTCTTTGCAGATGATATGATTCTTTATTTAGGGTATCCAAAGAAATCTATGAAGAAACTATTGGAACTCACAGAAAAGTTTTTGCAAAGTAGTAGGCTATAAAATCAATGCACAAAAATCAACAGCCTTTGTATACACAGGCAATGCCACGGCTGAGAAAGAACTGCTAAGATCAATCCCATTCACAATAGCTACAAAAACAATCAAATACCTTGGAATAAACTTAACCAAGGATGTCAAAGATCTCTACGATGAAAATTACAAAACCTTAAAGAAAGAAATAGAAGAGGATACCAAAAATTGGAAAAATCTTCCATGCTCATGGATTGGAAGAATCAACATCATCAAAATGTCCATTCTCCCAAAAGCAATTTATAGATTCAATGCAATACCAATCAAAATACCAAAGACATTCCTCTCAGATCTGGAAAAAATGATGCTGAAATTCATGTGGAGACACAGGAGACCTTGAATAGCTTAATCAATCTTGTACAACAAAAACAAAGCAGGAAGCATCAAATACCAGATTTCAGGACATACTACAGGGCAGTTGTAATCAAAACAGCATGGTACTGGTACAGAAACAGATGGATAGACCAATGGAACAGAATTGAAACACCAGAAATCAATCCAAACATCTACAGCTGACTAATATTTCATCAAGGATCAAAACCAATCCCAGGAGTAAGGACAGTCTATTCAATAAATGGTGCTCGGAAAATTGGATTTCTATGTGTAGAAGCATGAAGCAAGACCCCTACCTTACACCTTACACAAAAATCCACTCAACAGGGACTAAAGACTTAAATCTATAACCCAACAACATCAAATTATTAGAGAACATTGGAGAAACCCTTCAAGATATAGGTACTGAAAAGACTTCTTGGAAAAGACCCCAGAAGCACGGGCAGTCAAACCCAAAATTAACATTTGGGATTGCATCAAATTGAGAAGTTTCTGTACTGCAAAAGAAACAGTCAGGAAAGTGAAGAGTCAACTGACAGAATGGGAAAAATATTTGCAAACTATGGAACAGATAAAACAGTATCTACAAAGAGATCAAGAAATTCCACAACATCAAAACAAACAACCCACTTAAGAGATGGGCCAAGGACCTCAATAGACATTTTTCAAAAGAGGAAGTCCAAATGGCCAACAGACACATGAAAAAATGTTCAAGATCACTAGCAATCAGGGAAATGCAAATGAAAACCACAATGAGGTTTCATCTCACCCAGTTAGAATGGCTTCCATACAGAAATCTACCAACAACAGATGCTGGAGAGGATGTGGGAAAAAAGGGACACTAACTCACTGTTTATGGGAATGCAAACTGGTCAAGCCACTATGGAAGTCAGTCTGGAGATTCCTCAGAAACCTGAATATAACCCTACCTTACAACACAGCCATCCCACTCCTTGGAATTTACCCAAACGAAATGAAATTGGCAAGCAAAAAAGCTGTCTGCACCTTAATGTTTATTGCAGCTCAATTCGTAATAGCTAAGATCTGGAATCTACCCAAATGCCCATCAACAGTAGACTGGATAAAGAAATTATGGGACACGTACTCTATAGAATACTATACAGCAGTTAAAAACAAGGAAATCTGGTCATTTGCAACAAAAAGGAGGAATCTGGAAAACATCATGCTGAGTGAATTAAGCCAGTCCCAAAGGGACAATATCATATGTTCTCCCTGATCGGTGACAACTAACCAAGCACAAAAAAGGAAACCTGTTGAAGTGAAAGGGACACTATGTGAAACAGTGACTTGATCAGCCGTTGTCCTGACTGTTGATTTATAATTTAATACTTTATCCCTTTTAGTATTTTTTTTTGGTGTTCTACTTAATACCATTGGTTGAACTCTGTAATTAAGACACAATTATTCGTAGGTGTTTAAAATTAACTGAAAAATGATCCCTGTTAAATATAAGAGTGTGAATAAGAGAGGGAGAAGATGTACAATTTGGGACATGCTCAGTCGGACTTGCCTCAAATGGTGGAGTTAGAAATGTGCCAGGGTATTCTAATACAATCCCATCAAGGTTGCATGTATCAATGCCGTCTCTCTAGTCCAGGTGATCAATTTCTGTTCACAATTGATCACACTGATAGGTCTAAGAGTCAAAGGGATCACACAAACAAGACTAGTGTCTGCTAATACTAACTGATAGAATCAAAAAGGGAGAGATCCATTCAACATGGGAAGCGGGATACACAGCAGACTCATAGAATGGCAGATGTCCTAAACAGCACTCTGGCCTCAGAATCAGCCCTTAAGGCATTCGGATCTGGCCGAAAAGCCTATGAGAGTATTTTAGGCATTGAAAGCCAAGACACTCTGGAAAAAAAAAAAAAAAAAGAAGACCTAAGTGAAAGATCTCTGCGAGTGAGATCCCAGCAGAAAGAACGGGTCATCAAAGAAGGAGGTACCTTTCTCTGAAGGGAGGAGAGAACTTCCACTTTGACTATGACCCTGTTGGGATAAGATCGAAGTTTGCGAACTCAAGAGGCTTCCATAGCCTTGGCAACTCATGACTAGAGTCAGGGATATTACTGACGCCATAAACAAGAGTGTCAAATTGTTAAGTCAACAATAGGTGTCACTGTGTACTTACTCCTCATGTGGGATCTCTGTCCTTAATGTGTTGTCCAATGTGAATGAATGCTACAACTAGTACTGAAACAGTATTCTACACTTTGTGTTTCTGTGTGGGTGCAAACTGATGAAATCTTTACTTAATATATACTAAATCGATCTTCTGTATAAACAGATAATTGAAAATGAATCATGATGCGAATGGAAGGGGAGAGGGAGCGGGAGATGGAGGGGTGTGGGTGAGAAGGAAGTCATGAGGGGGAGAAAGCCATTGTAATCCATAAAATTTACTTTGGACATTTATATAAATAAAAGTTTAAAAAAAGTAAAAAAACAAAGAAAAATTGCTATTTTTGAAAATACTCATTCAATTATAATAGACTATAGAAATAATGATGTAGTTTTAAGCACATCTTCTGCCCAGATAGAAACATGTTTTTGATGATTCTACCTTTTAGAAGACTTCTCAGATTGTAGAAAATTTTCCTGGCCATTTCACTAAATTTCTAGAGTTTATACTTATACTTCGTTATGGAAAGAATCTTTTTATAATCATCCAGGAGGAGGAGACTTCAATATCACAATCAGGAATGAATTCTGCAAGAATATACCTATTATTTCAAGTGGTTTCTTCCCAAGTAAATGAACATGTAACTGTAAACCAGTTCATGCTGGCTATTTCTGCCATCAGTCTTCTCCCGATGCAACACAGAAACCTAAGCATTACCATTTTACTGCTTCTCACATTGCTCTTCATCTCTTACTGTTATCAACCCCTGTTGTGCAATGATGTCCCATTTTATTACTTTATTCAATTTGGGCCCAGGCAGCTATTGGCACTTGTTTTAGTTACTAAAGTTTCTCTAACAGAAATAAGATGGAGAATGCTAGAAGTGTCTTGACAAATCTGTATTCTGAAATTCACCCTGCTTATCATCTGTGGTCCTACCTGTGACCTCTGGGTACTTCAGCAGGAGCAGGAGTCCATATCTGAGAGTGGTGCTTGTGGTCTCTGTCCCAGCAGCAAATAGATCACCTACAGTGTATTTCAGGTTTTCAAGGGTAAATTCAGACTGCTGGTTGTGCTTTTCCTAGGGATGATTTGATGAAATTATTTCAAAAATTAGTTTCTAAAATATTGATTCCAATACATTTAAAATAATTCAGAGCATGAAATCATGAGGACAATTCCATTAACAAGAGCATACAAAAGAACCAAGTATCTAACAATGAATTTGACTACAGAGTGTTGCCTGGCAGTTAAGATGCTTGTTATGAATCCAACTTCCCAAATTTGAGTCCTGGATACTGTTCCTCATTCCAGCTTTCCAGTAATGCAAACCCTGGGAGGAAGTAGCAATAACTCAAGTAATTATTTTCCTACTACCCATATGGGAGTTTTGGGTAGCATAGCCAAATTGCAGCTTCAGCCTCTATCTGGACTCACTAGTCACAGGAATATGAAGAGTACTAACCAGGAGATGGGTTCTATCTGTGTCAATCCACTTGGATCTATCTATGTGTCTATCTATGTATCTGTCTATGTCTAACATCTATCTGTCATCTACATCTCTCTCTTTTGCAAATAAATAAAATCGTTTAAAATATTTTATTACAAAATTAATAGACTTTTACAATGAACTACAAAATATTGTTGGAAGAAAATAGAAAAAAATCTAAGTAAATGAAAACATATCTCACATTCTTGGATCTGAAGGCTTAATATCATTAAGATAGTGATATTCCCCACAAAGATATATTCAGTGACTAATTGTACTCCCTCTAAATTTCAATGATATTTTTGAAGAAATGGAAAGAGCAATCCTTACATTCATTTGGAACCATGAGAATCAAATTCATGATCTACAATTTCAAAACTTAATACAAAATTATGACAATCAAACAGTGATGACCAATTGCTTTTCTTTTAAAAAGATTTATTAATTTATATCTTTGAGTGGTAGAACTACAGACCTAGGGAAAGACAAAAACACACACACATGTACATACACACACACACAGAGCACACACGTGTAAATACACACGCACAGGGTTTTTCATCTACTGGTTAAACCCCTCCCCCCACCAAATGGCTGCAACAGTCATCTCTGAGCTAGGCACAACCAGGAGCCAGGAACTCAGTTCACGTCTCCCACATAGTAGAAGGGGCCCAAGTACTTTGGCCATCATCTGCAGCCTACCTAGAAATGTTAGCAAGGTGGAATGGGAACAGGGTAGCCAGAACTCAATCCAGCACTCTCATATGGGATGCTGGCCGAGAAAGTCATAGCTTAACCTACCTTGCCGAAACACATTTCCTGTACCCTTTCCTCCTCATTCTCCCACACATCAAGTACAAATAATCATTTCCAAATTAATTTCACGGCTCAATATTTTGTACTTTGCAATTTGCTTAAAGTTGTTTCCTTTCAGTGACGTGTGCCTTCTGTCTCCCTCAGGTAGTTTGTTAATAACTAAAGATCAGGACTGAAGTCTTCTAGTCCTTTAACAACTGAATTTTGATTCTAGGATATTTGGTACAGATGCATACCCAGAAGAAGTACTTACAGTACTTGTTAAGCATTTCTTGCCTTAACATATACACCTGCCAAGTAAATTAACAAATGAACCACTGCCACATAATTGAGATGTTGACATTTCACCTGTTCCATTTTGATCAGGAAACAGTCAATAAAGTTTCGAGGATTGTTCATATCCAGGGATTGTTGGTGTTCTTTTACTTTCTCTGAAATAAAATTTTGGATACAGGTCATATCTTCCATAAATGTTTTATGACTCCCTGGGAAATAATCAATGAGAACTGGAAAATTATTGCAGACCTAAAAAACAAAACAAAACAAAACAAAAAAATCCTTTACCAAAGAAAATCATTTAATAAAGACATGCAGATCACATTCTAGTCCAGGATGGAAATGTTAGCTTTAAAAGTAAAAATAACAGGATGTCCACCTTGAGATGGAAACTTTTACTGTACACTTACAGTCAGTTTTTACTCTTAGAGAAAATTTGTGGGAGAAAACTTTGACCAAAGGTTTAAATTTGTTGCCTATGTCCTATGCTTATATGTCAATTTTAGTAATAAAATAGATTTATATTAAGTCTCTTTTTTGTGAATCAATTCTTCCCCACAATCTGGAAATACAGGGTGGCATGAATGACCACGATTCATACTTTGTAGATAATGCTGAGGAAGTTTGTGTGCCTGGTCTTGAGCACAATGTTCATCTGTGCTATTTCTTACCTGCGGCCTCAGATGCAGAATCACTGCTTTAGAATAGGGAAAATTTTGAAAATGCCATGAATTCCATTCAGTTGAACATTTTATGGATAAAGTGACTGCGCACAAGAGGAGTTCAGCCACTTCCCCAAGATACTATGAGGATCTTTTAGAAAGAATGCAGGACAGACCAATCAGCATAGGAAAAATTGCATTTCTTTGTGATCCATATTCTATAAAGTCCAATCATTTTGTCTTTTCTCTCTCTCTCTCTTTTTTTGACAGCCAGAGTTAATGAGAGAGAGAGAGAGAGAGAGAGAGACAGAGAGAAAGGTTTTCCTTTTTCCATTGGTTCACTCCCAAAGTGGCTGCTACAGCCAGCATGCTGTGGTGCTGCGCTGATCCGAAGCCAGGAGCCAGGTGCTTCCTCCTGGTCTCCCATGCGGGTGCAGGGTCCAAGGACCTGGGCCATCCTCCACTGCACTCCTGGGCCACAGCAGAGAGCTGGACTGGAGGAGGAGCAACCAGGAAAGGATCTGGCACCCCGACCGGGACTAGAATCTGGGGTGCTGGCGCCACAGGCGGAGGATTAGCCTATTGAGCCGTGGCGCCGGCCAATCATTTTGTCTTTTAACACAGTGACCTTGTCAGCTGGTATCAAACATCCCAGACATGTTCATAGTCTCCTGGCAGCCTCTGTGACTCTAAGTATTCCCATTCCTTGATATTCTAACTTAGGGTATTTTTGCTAAGTACGCTGAAGAGGTCTTAGGAGGCAACGGAGGGAGCATTCCTGGTGACTGATGGCATCCCCCACAAGTGCCTGGACATCCTTGAGTGCTATGCCTGTGCTTTTGTCCAGTCAGCAAATCACTTCATGCAAATAGCGCTTTGGAGCTTAGTGGGAACCCCACTGTTCAGGGAGCCAGTGGGCTTGATTGTCAGCTCCATATTTGTCCATTGGTTTCCTGGTGTAAAATAATGGGTTCAGTCATATTCCCCAGATGCCCACTGATGTCATTGAGCTGTGCACAGGACTGTGGAATCCAGAGAGTCCCTTCACAGCATGGTCTATTAGCATGACCATAAATAAATAAATAAATAAATAGCATAAATGTTTTACAGTGAAGAAAGGGATTTGTATCTCACCTGTATCCATGGGGAGCTCAGAATATTGATGCCTTCATTCAACAGTTTCAAAAAAGTAAGGAAATCCTGATCTGTGTATTCAAAACGGTTCTGGAAAATAATGGAGCAGATCACGTTGCAGGGGGCAGCACCCAGGATAAAGGTGGGATCACAGGGTGAGGCTAAAAATTAGGAAAATTAAAAAAATACTGTTTAAAATATGCATAAGAACTCTTGTTTTTGAGATAGCTGATACATTTTCAATTAATCTTCTCCTAGGCATTGCCTTAAGCAGTGAAAGTCAGCATTTATAAAATTAACATATCACTTTTAGCTTGAAACTGAAATGACCAACACATTTCATGTAGGCCTTTATTTTCATATTATCAAGTCTAATAGTGGTTTTCCTTATATCCATACAGTCACACAACCTGTATTAAATTCACTTAGGCCAAGATGTACCATATTTTGGTGGTAAATGGAAAACATTTAAGAAGACAATTTTTAGGGGCTGGTATTTTGGTGCAGTGGATTAAGCCACTGCTTGTAGTGCCGGCTTCCCTTATTGGAGTGTCAGTTCAAGTCAACTTTGAGTCCAGCTGGGAAGACAGCCCATGTGCTTTAGTCCCTGCCACCAATGTAGGATACCAGGATGGAGTTCCTGACTCTAGCAGATCGAAAATCTGTCTCTCCCTTTTACTCTGTCACTGGCATTCTTTCTTTCTTTGAAAGGCAAAGTGACACAGAGAGTGAGTCAGATGAAAAGAAATCTCCCATCCCCTGGATCACTCTTCACATGGCTGCAGCAGTCAGGACTGGGCATGTTGAAGCTGGGAGCCAGGAAATGCATCTGGCCTTCCCATATCGGTGGCAATGGCTCAAGTAATTGGACCATAATTTGCTATTTTCCCAGGTACTTTAGCAGGGAGTTGGATTGGAAGCAGAGCAGCCAGGACTCAAGCTGTCACACCAATGTGGAAAGTCAGCATTGCAAGCAGTGGATTAAGTTGAAATCATGGTAAATTTTACAACTTAATATTTTTGTAATTGGAAGTTTTTGCTGTAGCAAATATATCCTCAAAATTATGACTGAAGACATTAAACAGTGGGCAATATAAAATAATTCTAATGATAGATCTTATATGTTGTGATTCCAGTGAAATTATAATGAATGGGAATTCATGAAGCAATTAAAGCACACGTTAGCATCATTACTGGTGCGAGCTATAGGCACCAGTTTTAGAAGAAACCCTCAGGCAGGTGAGTGAGGCTGACTGTACAAGTGTAGCCATGGGAACTGAAAGTGAAAGCGTATGTCACTTGGTTCAGCTTCACAAGAATATAAGGGGTTATTTCACTGTGAACATTGGCAAGGTTTCCATAGTGAAATGATGTTGATTAGTTAGCCATAATTATATTATGGGATATATGCTGCTTTTTAACTCTTTAAGGAAATGAAGACAGTATGCAGATTCCTCAGAAATCTGAAAACAGATCTACCATATGACTCAGCCACCCTACTCCTAGTAATTTATCCAAAGGAAATGAAATTAACAAATAAAAGAATTACTTTTACACCAATGTTCATTGTAACACAATTCAAAATAGCTAAGATATAGAATCAACACAGATGTTCATCAGCAGATGACCAGATAAAGAAAATGTGGTATATATGCATAATGGAATGCTACTCTGCCATAAAAGGAATGAAATCCTGCTTTTTGCAACAAAATGGCTGCATCTTGAAACCATTGTGCTTAGTGAAATAAGCCAGTCCCCAAAAGACAAATCTCATCATTTTTCTGACATGGTAGTTAATAGAGAATAAAAAAAGAATGAAATTGACATCTAATGATTTGATTATTGCTTTTGGCCCTTGTCTGTACTCCTGTGGAACAGTGGTCTTTCTTCATTTTACTTATTGAACATTATGGTTAGTGGTGCATTAAGCTTGTGATTATAATCAGTTGAAATTATGTTACTGCAAAAATTAAAGGAAAAGAAAAGAAAGGAAGGACGGGATTGAGAAAGGGAGGGAAGCGACTATGGTTATCTTCTTAGAATTGTGCCTATGAAATACATGAAATCTGTACTCTTTATATTAATAAAAATTTTTAAAAAGAAAAAAGAAAATGAAACAAAATCTTCTATCTATTTGCTGTAATGAATTTAAGGCAAAGAAAAAACCTGAACAGAATAGGACATAAAGGGCTTTACCACCTACACAATGGGTCCAATCATGCTATACACACACACACACACACACACACACACAGACACATGCTTCAAACTGTCCCATCTCCATATGGGGGCTGACAGCCAAGACCTAGAATGAGAGGTCTGGATACCCCTGAAAATTTCCAAGGGCAGCATAGAGAAGGAGCAGTGAGAGTCAGCGATGTGGGGTAAGGGTCACCCACCGTTGGTTTTTCTCAGCTCCTCCACCAGGCAGCGGGCCTCCTCTTGAACTCGGTCCTCAATGCTCCTCTTCCCCATCCCAAAATTACGCAGGGTCATGAGTGAGAAGCGCCGCATTTCTTTCCATCTGTTTCCACTGCTTAAAAAGATCCCTCCTAGTAGGAGAGCAGAGATTAAGAGAAGGATACCAGGCAAGGAGGAGGGAGATTACACTCAGCAAACACATGCATGGGCTAAGCTCTTCTGAGGAGGTCTTCAAGTCTGCTTTCCATCCTCTGCTCCACATTACCACTGCATAACACACACACACAAACATGCACACACAGAAAGGTACACTTACCAAGATCTTTATTCATTCTTTCAGCCACTGGGAAGCTGCCTCTTCCAGCAAACTCCTCTCCAAGATCAATTAACGCCTCCTTCACTGCTTCATACCCGTGCAACACCACAGTGGGTTTTGTACCAATATACAGAGTGAACACAGGACCATAGACTTTTGAGAACTGGAAAGAGATGCAAAATTTACTCAAATAAGTCTTTTTGTCAGTCTACATATTACGTGTTTGTCACACTTGCATTTTAAATATAGTTATTCTGTCAGGCAACTTTTCAAATATTTCTGTATTTTAATCATAAATGTGATGGCGAATATTATAGCTGCTACTGGTGGATGACCTATAATGTGCCATAAAATAGTGCTGACATTTTGTAAAAACATTATATTTAATCCACTCCACTGCACATTCAGCAGATTCATAAACTCTGTTTTATAAATAATAAAACTTGATTTCAAAGATTGCAAACTCAAGTGCACTGTATTCAAGTTTGTGTTGCAGATTCAAATTTAAACCTCTGTTTTGTCACCTTCTGATGGCCGAGTAGTTTACCCATCCCCAAGGCTACCACATACTGAGCAACATCCAAGATTGCCTCAGCATCACCAGCACAGCTTGACCTAAGTGCTTTCTGATCTAGTAGCCGGGTGAAAAATACCAGCAAGATGTACATTCTATAAGTGACCCCAGATGATTACAACTTTCACCCAACTTTGAGACCACAGAGATTATCAACACAGAGAGCTAGAACAACAGAGGCAGTGCCAAGACTTGCAACATCTCATGGAAGAACAATGTCTCCCACCCTGTGCATTTGTAGGGGGCAGACAGCAACTGTGTGCAAAATCCAAAAGGATTCTGTAACCATCAGGGAGCTCTGAATGGTTAATTATTTTATGCACTTATACTGTCCGCTGGTCCTAAGACCTCAGCTTTTTTTTTTTTAAACAGCTTTATTGAGCTATGATTGACAAATATATATATATATATATATTACAAAATTTGGTGTTTTGATATATGTTTACATTTAAGAATACATTGCACCAGCAAGCTAATTAGCATATACATCCCCTCACACAGCTAAATATTTTGAGGAGCCAGTGCTGTGGCATAGTAGGCTAAACCTTCACTTGAGACACCAGCATCCCAGATGCGCACAGTTCCTGTTCCACCTACTGCTCTTCTGATCCAGCTCTTTGCTAATGGTTGGGAAAGCAGTGGAAGATGGCCCAAATCTTGAGCCCTTGCACCCACGTGGGAGACCTGGAAGAAGCTCCTGGCTCCTGGCTTTTGATTGGTCCAGCTCTGACCATTGCAACCATTTGTGGGGTGAACCAGTGGATGGAAGACCTCTCTTTCTATCTCTCCCTTTCTGTGTTTGTAACTCTGCCTCTCAAATAAATAAATACATCTTAAAAAAAGAAGAGTTGAGATGTAGTCTCTTAGTGAATTTCAGGTACACAGTACACTATCATATACTGCAGTCAAGATGATGCACATTTGGTCTGCAATATGTTTTCACCTTATAACTGAGGGTCTATAGTTTTCTTTGCCCATGTCACAACCCGAGGCAACCTCTTTCTACACTCTGTTACTGTCAGTGTGTGTGTGTGTGTTTTAAGATTTCACTTATAAATGAGAGCCTGCAGTGTCTTTTTTGTCATCTAGGATTATCAATGTTGTTGCAAAAAGGAAACAGAGAGAGAGAGAGAGAGAGAGAGAGAGAGAGAATGCGCCCATGATCTGGTCTACTTCCCAGGTGCCTGCAACAGTTGGGGGACCAAAACAAAGAACCTGGAGACTGGAACTTAATCTAGGTCCTCCATATGGATAGCACAAACCCAGTCACTTTAGCCATCAGCACTTCTTCCCAAGTTCTGTGTTAGTAGGGATCTGGAATTAAGAGCTGGAGCCAGTAAACAAACCCAGGTACTCCAATGTGGGATTCAGGGATTCTACAGAATTGAAACTAACCACCAGCTCCCTCTTCCTTTTTAAAAGCTAAAAGACATTTCATTTTATATACATATACAATCACATTTATTTTTACTCATTAATCCATGATGAATCCTTAATTTGCTTTTATATCTTGATTGCTTATATTTTAAATGATACAACAATAGACATGGGAATGTAGATGCTTCTCTGAGATTTCTGTCCTTTGGATATAAGGTTAGCACAAAACCATCACCATGACCACTTCCTTTCTGTGTTAGTACACTCACTCAGTGCCTTGCTATGCAGTCTAGCTCATATCTGGAAGGGCTTGGATCCAAATCTACCTACTTAATTGACATTCATTGGACTTTCTTCAGGACTTTGATATTTACTTTACACCATTACAGCTCTTTAAGTACTATTTTAATACTTTTAATTATTAAATATTTTTATTAATAGTAAATGTACATATTTTATGGGCTACAATATGGTATTTAAATATATATGTACACAATGTGTGTTGAGCAAATCAAGCTTGTCAATATTTTCTTTTTTTTTGATAATACTTTTATTTAATGAATATAAATTTCCAAAGTACAGCTTATGGATTACAATGGCCCCCCAGTAACTTCCCTCCCACCCACAACCTTCCCCTTTCCCGCTCCCTCTCCCCTTCCATTGACATCAAGATTCATTTTCAATTCTCTTTATATACAGAAGATGAGTTTAGCATATATTAAGTAAAGATTTCAACAGTTTGCACCCACATAGCAACACAAAGTGAAAAACACTGTTTGAGTACTAGTTATAGCATTAAATCACAATGTACAGCCCATTGACAGAGATCCTACATGAGGAGTAAGTGCACAGTGACTCCTGTTGTTGACTTAACAAATTGACACTCTTGTTTATGGCAACACTAATCACCCTAAGATCTTGTCATGAGTTGCCAGGGCTATGGAAGCCTTTTGAGTTCACCAACTCTGATCATATTTAGACAAAGCCATAGTCAAAGTGGAAGTTCTCTCCTCCCTTCCAAGAAAGGTACCTCCTTCTTTCTGCTGGGATCTCACTCACAGAGATCTTTCATTTAGGTCATTTTCTCTTTTTTTGATAATACTTTATGGTTGGAAGCTTGGAGTTTCTATCTTCTATGTGCTCATAAAAATGAAAGCTATTTGTGAACTACAGTTACCTCACTTGCAGAAAATTGCATGGCATTTGAGGACATCATGTTAGGTGAAATAGAGTAGACATAGAAAAGCAATACAGCAAGTTCTCTCTCATGTATGAAAAAAACAGAATTTTAACTCAAATATTTTTAAAATGTTAAAATTTTTAACTTCATTTAATCTCTTCTTCAAATATTCAGAGAATTCATTTACTCTAGATTTTAAAAATGAAGTATTTTGGCCGGCGCCGCGGCTCATTAGGCTAATCCTCCACCTAGCGGCGCCGGCACACCGGGTTCTAGTCCCGGTCGGGGCGCCGGATTCTGTCCTGGTTGCCCCTCTTCCAGGCCAGCCCTCTGCTGTGGCCAGGGAGTGCAGTGGAGGATGGCCCAGGTGCTTGGGCCCTGCACCCCATGGGAGACCAGGAAAAGCACCTGGCTCCTGGCTCCTGCCATCGGAACAGTGTGGTGCGCCGGCCGCAGCGCGCCGGCCGCGGCGGCCATTGGAGGGTGAACCAACGGCAAAGGAAGACCTTTCTCTCTGTCTCTCTCTCTCACTGTCCACTCTGCCTGTCAAAAAAAAAATGAAGTATTTTAATTTATTTTAAAATTTTTGAAATGGAAATCATTTACACACATGGTTGTTGTTTAAGTCTACCTCAAAAAGCACCTAAGGGTTATCACTGTATTTTACTCAAATTCTAAGAAAGTTTTGACACTTAATGGTGTTGCGCTTGTACTTTGCAAGCCCCAAATTGTGTGGATTGATTTTCCCAAGGGCAGAACTTGAAGACGCCCTTACAACTGAGTTCCAGAGCTGGAGGCAGGAGAACACGCTTTCAGGAAGGTGGGACACCCTTGCTGCTCAGGTTTCCTGAGGAAGATGGGGAACTTGCTGATCATCAGTCATTCAAGCTTCTCTGGATATGTTTACAACCCAGTAACAACAGCTGTCCTTTGGGCTTGGAGACGCTGGGTTCTAGAAAGCTAGCCACCCTCAGACCCTTCTCAGACACAGCCGTTGAAACCGGCAAGTGGTGATTCTGAGGCATCTCCTGGGAGGCCTTTGAGTGGCTGCTCCAGAGGTGAACATCCTGGAAAAGTTTTACTCATTTTCCATTGAAATGAGAAAATAAAGTCAGCCTCACATTCGTTCAGTGCTGTACCTGGAAAAATCTGTATGCAGAGGTGTGATGTTGTGGTCCTAGGTAGCATAGTTGCAGTCTCCAGTACTGGCCAGTTTGAGCCGATGGGCAGTCTGGGTCAACTGGACAGCAGTGTCAGGGTCAGGGTGGGCTGTGTCAGGTAGTAGCATGCACTCCTTTCCAGGGAGTTAGCTATCCCTTTGAGCAGGTCCTGGAAACCAAGGGCCAGGACAGCCTTTCATATATAGTTCAGCTCCTTGTTTCCTTGCATTTCGTAAAATCTGTACATCTGTCTGTAGGCTGCTGGATTTGATACAGACGGTCATGTTTTGGGCTGCAGGGAGAAGGGGTTATTATTGTCATCCTCACCATAGAGTTTTCTTTAGTATCTGAATGAGAAACCAACTGTGCTACTTTCTTTAGCTATGGGAGAGGTTCTGGGCCAGGCTCAAAGAGAGACATCATGAGATTCGATTCCTTCTTGCTATCGGCTTGGGAGTAGAGCATTCCATGTCAGTCAGGACCTAATTGAGCAATCACCATGATTCCTTCCACTTTTAGGATGCCATGGAGCAGGACACAAATGTTGGATATTTAGTCTGTTCGGCTGAATTTTCATCTTTATTGTCATCAGTGATGCAAGGACCCACCTCATCACCTTCTTTGTACTATAGGTAATACCAAATGTCTAGACAGAACAGGGGAACTTGAAATATCAGCTAATTCAGTAGGGATAAGATAAATTTCTTTATATACACAAAAATGTTCTGGCCTGAAGAAGACCTGCAATCAACTGTTAGGTGACCACACTTGAGAACAGCCTGAAAAGGTGTACATACCAGATCTGCAAGTTTTCCAAACATAGACTGTGTGTATTTTCAGCACAGGGGGCCATCAGCAATAAAAATATGCCT